TCCCTCATAAGAGGGATCCCTGAGTCTTTCTGGGTGACAATGTATTATTGGGGAGTGTGACTCTAGCTACTGGCCAAGCTGGAGTTTCCAGTCAAATGTCAGTCTAAAAAATGTTAATTTTTCTCATTATTTGTGTGATTCCTGCATCTATGTCTTATAGAGAACTTGGGGGTAGAAGAGGAGAGCCATGATTAACTAAAATCTCTAAATTAAAACAAAGTTATTTGCCAACTGCTTGTTTTGAGGTAAATACAAAATATATAAGTATCACACATAAGAACTGTATTCTCTGTGTCCACAACCAACATCCAATGGAACCAGCACTCCTCAGAACTCTGATGAACCAACCACAGGCTAAAAATAAGAAAAGGGCTGTGAGATGAGCCAGAAGTTGAAGCTGACACTGTCTCTTCAAATGAGGGCTTTCCCAGGCCCGAAGACCTTTCCCTCTCCAAATAATGGGCACATCAAGCCACTAAACGCGGGACACACCCAACTAGTTTCCCCTTCTCTCACGCAATAAGCAGTCATCAGGTGAGAATTCGGCTCCCCAGGGCAATCAGCGCAGAGGGATGATACGCTTGAACACCAGACGTGGACCTGCTGATCTACCGAATGGTTCTGTTTCTCATTAACTGTGAATAAACCACTCTCCTGATTGGACATCACTCTGCGTGCTTAGCTAACATAAACCCATTCCCAAGAGAATGAGCCAGGCTTGCTAATACAACCCATCAGGTATCTGAGGGTACAGGGTTCACCTGCTCCGCAGGCCTCTCACTGAGCTACCAGAAGGCCTCTCCAGGCAAGAAGCCCACTTGCCACACACCTTGTTTCAAACTTCAGCAATAAGCCTGAGGAAAAAACATGAATTTGGAGAGTGGTCTCCTGCTCACCCTCCATGAGTGAAGCTGCCCTACACTGGCTCTCTGGGATGGGGGAGTGGGTAAGAAAGGTTGCCCAAGTTCTTTAACAAAAGAAAGAATCAAATGCCCCACAAGAGTTACAACAGAAGTTTAATTGCCAAGCCAGTTCCTCCTGGACATGATGGGCCTTATGACACAGCTCTAATGCTGGAGGGACAGGACAGGACAGCACAGCTCCGGGATAGGAAATATCCAAAAATCAAATGGAGGCAAGGCTCCTGGAAAATTTTCTGAACTTACCAAGGAAAAAGAGCACTTGACTGGTGAATAATCTACCTCACCTCTGGACAACATTACGGGGGGAAATCTTTCAATTACTTGGTGAGGCCACCCAAAGCTCTACTCCATGTATCACTGATTAAATCATGACTTTCCCGGAGGGATTATATCACTCTTGTGAAAAAGGGGCAGGGTGGGAATTCGACATTGATACCTATAAAATTAGATGTTGTCAACAATCTAGTCTAGAAGTCCATTTTAAATTTTGGGGTTTTTTTGTTTTGTTTTCACCCTGGATGCATTTTCCCTCAACAACAATGTAATAATGAAGGTGAAGATCCCAATATAGCTCTCGACAATCTATTTAACCCTAAAGGCATTTGACTTCAATGTAAATGACTCTTTACTCTTTTCCCCACAGATGAGCTCATAGTTTCATAAACAATTTATTGCCAAAAGATAAAAAGAAGCTTTATATCCTTAAAATAAAAGGCTTATAATGTGAAAAGTGCATTGTGAATTCCCATCTGGAATTCTGGGAGCCAGTACACAACTCTATGTCCACCCCTTTGACATCAGAAGCTAAGGAAACCACCACAGCCTGGCCAGGGACATGCTCAGTGGTTTTTAACAAACTGAGTCAGTGTAGTTGAGGAGCAAAGCCTCAATTTCTTTGAGCGATATATGACATCACTTGAAAATTAGGTGCTCGCTTCGGCAGCACATAGACTAAAACTGGAACAACACAGAGAAGATTAGCATGGCCCCTGCGCAAGGATGACACGCAAATTCCTGAAGCATTCCATATTTTTAGACACTGAAATAGAGAACAGGGGGACAGCGACCAGAGGGGAGAGGGGAGGGAATTTAAGGGGAAAAAATGGGAGGGATTTAGAGGAACAAGTATAAAGGACACAGGAACAATAACTAAGGGGGGTGGAAATGGGAGGGAGGTGGGGAGCATGGGGGAGGGGAGGGGTGGGCTGGGATGGGAGAAGTAAACAGAAAACTATACTTGAAAAATAACTAAATAAAAATTTTTTTTAATTTCACATTTTTTGAATTTTTAAATTTTATTGTCACTTTGTAATTGATCTATTTTGAAAATATTAAATGTGCTCTAGGAAAAAAATAAAGCATAAACATAAGTAATTTATTATGGTCTTTATAACATGTAGAAGCACAATTCAATAAAACATTTGCACAAAGAGCAGGAGAGGGAAGCACTCATTTAAAAAAAAAAAAAGAAAAAAAAAAAAAAAGAAAGAAAGAAAGAAAAGAAAATTAGGTAAAAGCACTCGGGCTCTTAAAGGGCCCGAGTGCAACTTTTGAAAGAGTGCCTTTTAATGAGGCTGCTTTATGGTAGCCAGAACAGACCTGGCGCTCACTAACATTAGTAGAGCAAAATGAATGAAGTGCAGGACTTCAACAGGCAACAACAGGGCATCCATGCAAAACCCTCCACTGAAGGATGACTCACAGATAAGGCAGACAGTCTTAAATTACGTAGCAAGGCACGGCTGCAATACAAGGTAGCTTAATTACCTCTGCTCCAATCCATTTAAGCACCATCTCAACTTTGTCCTGAAAAGGCTCCTTTCTAGCTTTGCTGAAGAGCATTTGCTGAGTCTTAGGAAAGGGAACTAGGCTGCCATGAGAAACCACTGGGCACACTGTAGGTTCCATGTACCCATTCAGAGGGAGTCACTCCAAAAATACTGCTACTCAGAAATGTATTTTATAGAGTTGAGGTTTTTAAAGCAAAAGCAAGTCTGGTAGTGCTTCTATTTTCCCTAGGCTTAATTTTCTTACTGTATCCAATCACAGTTCTATACAGGCAAAATACAGATTTCTCAGAAGGTGGTGGTGTGGTCCACCGGTCACGTGCATTAGCTACATGTGCCTGTCTAGAGCCCCATCCTAGATCCACTGAAGGAAGCCCTAAGAATAGGAATTGTCTTCTCCTTTGAGAAAAGGGGTACTTAATATGGTCCCCAGGCGATCCCTCTGAACACTAAACTTTAAGAACTATATAAGGGCCCTAGCTGGTGTGGCCCAGTGGATGGAGTGCTAGGCTGCAAACCAAGGGGCTGCTGGTTCAATTCCAAGTTGGGGCATGTGCCTGGGTTGTGAGCTGGGTTCCTGATGGGGGGTACACGAGAGGCAATCACACACTGATGTTTCTCTCCCTCTCTCCTTCCCTTCCCCACTCTAAAAAATAAAGAAATATCTTTAAAAAAAGAACTATATAAGCAAAGAACCAGAGATTTAGAGAAAATTACCCAAGTTCATTTCCTCTCCAGATACATGTGCAAGCCCCATAAGCTCTCCTGAGCCTCCAATAACAAGCTTTTTTTAATGGAGGAAAAGGACATACTCATCACAGAGTTATTAAGTCAAATGAGAATAGACTTGAACTTGCTTGGAAAGGGTAAGGGGCTAGACAAATACTATCCATTTGAAACATGTAAGTAATAAAATGAATGATTACAAAAGCCAGGTGCTAGGGAAACAAAGATGAAGAGGAAAAAGTTGGAAAACCAACATATACATAACTCCACATAATGAAATGAATTTGGGGCCATAATAATTGCAGTATCTGTATGAAAATGGTGATAATCCCACAGAGGAAACCATTATTAATCATTAATTCACCAACTATAACCCCCTGACTGGTAACAGATACAGACCAATCATGAATGAAGTGAGACATGTTACTTTGTAAAAATCATCAATATGTTGAATCTGATCAAACTGAGACAGTAAGAAATATAAAAGCATCAAAGAAAACTCAAGTCTTCATGACAGTGCTATGCGAGACGTGTCCAGATTCCAACCCTGTGCCCCTCCATCACAAGAAAAATAACTAGTGTGTACTGAGCACCTAGAGTATGTCAGATGCCCTATTGGAAGCTTTATTTTGGAAAATCCCCACAATGACTTCATGACATTGATGTGATGTCTTCGCTCACAGATGACTAAATAACTCAAAAGGTCAAGTTACAGTGGGAGAGCCTAAATTCAAATCTGGGTGTGGCTGACTCTCAAGGCCTGTGAGCACAGACCGCCCCCTCTTTTGTTAAAATGTCCACAACTCCAGGAGTTCATTTCTGTTTAAGAAAATCTTACAATGGTCAGTTGGCCAAAGGCTACAAGATACTTGAGCCAAAGTTAAATATGCTTTCTTCAGGCTGACCTGGGAAACAGTTCAATAGACTCATGACAGTCAAACTGCAGGCAGACTGCAGAGAGGGGAAGCACAGATCACCATCTCACTGTGTGAGATCTGGTCAAGTGATCACTCTTCTATCTACTTGTATTTCTGATTAATACTATTAGTAACAGCTAAAATTTACTCAGTACTTACTCTATGGCTGGCATTACGCTGTCTACATGAATTGCCTTATGAGGTAGGCCCTGTCGACAAACCCTGTTTTACAGATGAGAAACTGAGGTACAGAGAGACGAAGACACTTCGCCAGAGCTGGGGCTGGAACCTGGTCATCCTAAATCCAGAGCTTGGATTCTCCACCACTTCTGCATTCTGATGCTTTCCCCCTGGCCTAATGTGACTTACTCATGCTGCAAGGTGTCTCAACACTCTAGACATTAAATCCCTTAAGTATACAAACAGATACGACTGTTGCTACTAATCTAGCAAGTAAGCTTTACAATATTAGTTTAGCTAGAACACACAGCAAGATTTACCATCTAATTAATTTCCCAGAATCCTGCTTTTCTAATTCATCTGCACATGCAGTTGTCCCACATTAAGTGTCTACTATGTGCCAGGCACAGCAGTGATAAAGATGCAAAGGCTTGGCCCCCTCCCCGCCCAAGCTTGTCTCCCCTCACCTTCAGCTGTTTGACCTTCTCTTTTCAGCATCTGGACAGCTCCTACATATTTCTTCAGCTGGACTTTGAGCACTTCATTTTCCCTGCAGGTACAAGAATGTTAAAAAATTATTTTTTTAATTGGCAATTTAGACCGAAGGTGGGGGGAGGGGTCTGTACAAAGAAAAACACAATGTTCATCTTACAAATAACAATACATTTTCTGGGAGAGTTCCGGCCAAGATGGAGGTATAGGTAGAAACCCTTCACTTCCTCTTACAACTAAAAGGAGGATAACAACCAATCTAAACTCAATAAACAACCAGAAGCACCAAAAATCAAACTGCATAGAACTCCAACAACCAAGGTATTAAAGAAAAAGTCAACCAGAACAACCAGACCGGTGCACCAAGACAAGCAAATATGGCCCACATGAAAGAGCACAGCAAAACCTCAGAACTAAGCAATAAGGACATTGCCAACCTAATTGATGTAGAACTTAAAGCCCTGGAAATTAAAATGCTCACAGAACTGATTAAGCTTGGTTGAAAAATGAAAGGTACCCAAAATTAAATAAAGCAAAATATTCAGGGAACCAACAGTGACAAGAAAAAAAACAGGATTCAAAGCAACAATTTGGAACAAAAGGAAGAAATAAACATCCAACTGGATCAGAACAAAGAAACAAGAATAAAAAAAAATGAAGAGAGGCTGAGAACTCTCTGAGACAACATGAAACATTCCAATATCCAAATTATAAAGGTGCCAGAAGGAGAAGAGCAGCAGCAAGACATTGAAAACTTATTTGAACAAATAATGAAGAAAAACTTCCCCAATCTGGTGAAGGAAATAGACTTCCAGGAAATTCAGGAAGCCCAGAGAGTCCCAAAGAAGTTGGACCCAAAGAGGAACACACCAAGGCACATGATCATTAAGTTACCCAAGATTAAAGACAAAGAGAAGATCCTAAGAGCAGCAAGAAAAAAGAAGACACTTACCTACAAAGGAGTTGCCATAAGGCTATCAGCTAATTTCTCAAAAGAAATCTTACAGGCAAGAAGAGGCTGGAAAGAAGTATTTGAAGTCATGAAAGGCAAGGACCTACATCCATGATTGTTCTATCCAGCAAAGCTTTCATTTAGAATGGAGGAGCAGATAAAGTGCTTCTCAGATAAGGTCAAGTTAAAGGAGTTCATCATCACCAAACCCTTACTATATGAAATGTTAAAGGGGCTTATCTAAGAAAAAAGAGGATCAAAAATATGAACAGTAAAATGACAACAAACTAATAACTATCAACAAATGAACCTAAAAGAAAAGAAAAACAAAAACTAAGCAAACAACCAGAACAGGAACAGAATGAGAGAAATGGACATCACACAGAGGGAGTTCAGTGGGGAGGGGGAAGGGAGGAATAGGGGGGAAAAGGTACAGGAAAGAAGAAGCATAATTAGTAGGCATAAAATAGATGGAGAGAGATAAAAAATGGTATAGGAGACAGCGGACTCAAAGAACTTATATGTACAACCCATGGACATGAACTAAGGGAGGGGAATGCAGGAGGGTTGGGGGGACAGGATAGAGGAGGGATAAAAGGGGGGAAATTGGAAAAATTGTAACAGAATAATCGATAAAAAACAAAAAATAATACATTCTCTGTTTTCAAAGTCATTGCTGGAAAAGACAACATTAGCAAAGGCACATTTGCAGAATGCCTTCAAGAAGTGTCCTTTGTTAGATGGAAATAATCTAACTGGTTCCAGTGCCAATGAAATCAGGATACTGACACAGGCTGTGCTCAGGTTATCTAAATCTATCAATTTTCTAGGTACCTATTCTGTGTCCAGGCACTCTGTAATATACTCTCCATTTACAGAAGCACCTATCAAGTACTGTGTATTCAACCTGGGGAATACTCTTAACATGTTTATTAGCCACCAAATGTAGTGGATATTCACTTTTTGCCAAGTATCATGTAAAGTCTTTGGTTTTCTCATTTAATCCTTCCAAGGAATTATCGAAACATCCATTATAAAGATGAGGCACAAAGAGGAGAAGCAGCTGACCAAGTCCACCCTCACCCCCATGTAGGACTGAACTGTGAAACATGGCACTCAGGCTGTGACAAGACCCCATGCCACTAAGTTTGCTCCCCAGGTGCCCTGGCTAAGAAGAAGAACATGAGGATTGCAGGAAGAGAGCTACCGTTTGTTGGGTATTTACAACATAGCTCAGACTTTACATATGTGACCTCAATGAATCAAGCATGCATTCACTCATTTATTCATTCTTCATTCAGTAGAAAAATGTCTATTGAGTGCCTCTGATGTGCCAGGCCCAATGACACCGCAGCCGTCTCCCTGTTGTGTAGGAGAGGAATGGGGCATGGGTCAGGTCTCCAACCGCAGTACAAAGGAGACACGCTGCCAAGACCCAAACACAGGTCTCTTGGCCTCCAAGGCTCAGAAGAGCTTTTCTCTGTCTCCCTTAGGATTTGGACTGGATTTGTCACCAGCTACCCCAGAGAAAAGTGTCTCTTCCACACTACTGCTTTTGCTCCTCCCCCCAACATTCTTAGGCCTGAATGCCTTTGAACCTGCTAGAATATATACACACAATGAAAAGAGCTTTAAGATTAGGTATATTTTACTTTTATAAAAATAAATTTAAAAGTAAAAATGCTCATTGCAAAATACTCAATTAGAACACATTTAAGAAGAAATGTAAAAATCAATTGAAAACCCAGCACCTTGAAATAAACCCAACATTTTAATGTTATATTCCATCACACACCTCACTAGGCATACACACAAACACACGCACATTCCTAAATGTAATTTTTTATGGGTGACACATCTTTCACACTCCTTTAATTTTTTATTTGAAGTGTTTTTCCCTTTGTTTACTGTCTACTCACCCCTCCCCCCGGTAATGAGTGCTAAAAACCTGGTATACTCATGTTATGCCTTCCACCATGTTCATACAGCCACTACAAACCAATACACTCAAACAGATTTACTTAATAAAACCAGTAATATAAATTTTTCTGCAACTGGGTTTGTCTCATTTAACAACTCACCACTAGAAGCTTCTAACTCGGTCTATTTATGGATGAAATGCCATTCCTTGATATGGATATACCACAATTTCCTCAGTGGAAAAACCTGCGACTGCCCATCACTGGCTCTGTTTTCAATGCATTGGACTACATCTCAGCCCACAATTTCACTTTGTGAACTGTATTTTGGCAGAAAAATCATCTTCATCAACAGCAGACACTACCAAACACTTAGGCGTCGCCTGAGAACTCTACATTCATCTCAGAAACTTTAGAGAGAGTAAAGCACAGAGAAGTCCCCTAATTATCTCCCTCCTATTAGAAATGTCATGGACATTTCTATAAGTATCTGCACTTTGTCTGTGATATGAATAGCAAACATCTGAAGTTAAACAACTAACAAGTCCTGAAAAGGTTTGTAGGAGAAAAAACACTCCACAACATACAGGAATATACGGCTTGTTTTCCTGGGTTCCCTAAGCCAGAGTCTGTTCACTCATCCCAGCCTAGTCTAATCTCCACATGTGAATTCAAGTCACATATGATGTGAAAACTTGGGGAAAAAGGAAATTTATGTGCACTCCTATGTGCCATAATTTTAACAACAGTTTATGGCAGAACATCCCCCAAGAGGCAGACTAGGCAAGTTCATTCTGGCCGGCTGACAGGTGAGTCACGTCAACATCTGGCTGCTCTGTCTCATTTGCTCACACCATACACGCCGACCCTCAGCTTCCTGATTTATCTTCCACTCTACAGCCAACAATGAAATGTTTCAAGTGGCTGCTTTTCTTCTTGTTTGGATCAATCTTTTAATAGTGTCTTAAGACTCTATCCAAATATCAGACCTAACATAGGAAAATCAAGATTTTTTATATAAAGGTTTCTCAAAATGATAAGAAGCCATGAAGAATATATCAAACCATTGTTCTGGCTTGTATAGCTCAGTGACTTGAGTGCTGGCCTGCAAACCAAAGGCTCACTGGATCAACTTCCAGTCAGGGCACAGGCCTGGGTTGTAAGCCAGGTCCCCAGTTGAGGGGCACACGAGAGGCAACCACATATTGATGTTTCTGTCCCTTTTTCCCTTCTTCCCTTCCCCCTCTCTGAAAATACATAAATAAAATATAATTTTTATTTTTTCATTTATTTATCTTTAGAGGGGAAGGGAAGGAGAGAGGGAGAGAAATATCAATGTATGGTTGCCTCTCGTGCATCCCCTGCTGGGAACTGGCCGGCAACCCAGGCATGTGCCCTCACTGGGAATCGAAATGCAATCCTCTGGTTCACAGGCCTACGCTCAACCCACTGAGCTACACCAGCCAGGGCAATAAAATCTTTTTTTTTTTAAGAAAGTTTGTTTAATTAAAAAAAAAAAAAGAATATATCAAGCCACTGGGTTGGACACCTTTGGGAGTAATAAACTCATTCCAGCCAACTTCATATCAGTGAAATTGTTTGCATTTTGTGGGTAATGAATATATTCAGATCACTGGAACTGCTTCTGAATAAAATTCAACACCTGGCCACTCCAAAGAGGCAACTGGCTCCTGACCACCCCCATTCCTGACAGAATGAAGCTCATGTTTTTCGTGTTGAAGTAACTGTAGATTCACACAAAGTTGCAAAGACAGTACAATGAGGTTGGTCACATCTACCCTCCGCCCAGTCTCCCCAGTGATTACATCTTACGTAACCATTGCGCAGTAGCGAAACCAGGACTCTGACAGGCTCACAGTGTGTGTGGGTGGTTCCATCGAGCCCATTATTTTAGCTTTGCTTCATGACAGTCCTCTGCCACAGCGTGTCTCTTAAGATGGAACACAGACTTAAATGACCACAACAGGCCAGGCCGATGAGTACAATAAGTACAAAAGGGAATGGGGGTGGGGGGCTTTGGCAAATTATAGATTTTTTTCCCATCAAAAGGTATTTTTTGAAACTTAACATGTTAGTGACCCCCCAAAAAATAATTCCTAGGCCCTAGACAACTAATCTGCAAACAGCTTACAGGATTTTAATTTATAAACAGAAGAACTGTATAGA